GACATGGTACATTTGAGATCTGATTAGACATCTGCTTGGGGATGCCAAGTAGGTAACTGGTGTGGACAGTCTGAAGCTCAGGAAACCAGGTTAGGTATAAATCAAGCCTCTGGTGGAGAAACCTCCGTTTATTCTGTTCGCCTCATCTGCTCTAAATATATGGCTGAGAGGTCTTCAGTATCCCAGGAATCTGCTGAGCATCTGAGGCATGCTTTGAAGCAGGGATCGCCTGCACCATGAAATAACTCTAATCTGTCCTCACATGCAACTGGCTATTCATTTATTAACAAGTGCTTATTAGGTACCTGCTACAGGCCAGGTGTGGTGGCTCATAACTGTAACCCCAACACTTTGGGAGGCCGAGGTGGGAGGATCCCTCGAGCCCAGGAGGTCAAGACTAGCCTGGGCAACATAGTGATAGTGTCCCTACAAAATTTTGTCTAAAAACTTAGCTGGGTGTGCTGGCATGTGCAGGTAGTCCCCGCTCCCCAGAGGCAGAGGCGGGAGGATCGCTTGAGCCCAGGATTTGGAGGCTGCAGTGAGCCATGATGGTGCCCACTGCACTCCAGGCACGGTGACAAGAGTGAAACCCTGCTTTACACTCAAAGAAAAGTGCCTATTCCCTGCCAGCCACTGTACTAGCTGTTGGGTATACAATGGAAAACAAGACATACTCCCTGTACTCACAAAATAATATTTAGTCTTTTGGGGCATTAGGACAAGAAAATGGAGATTTCAGTGCAATGAGTCACGGTGCTTTGGACACATGGGAGGGCTGCCTAGTTCCAGACTTGGAGGCCTGTGAAAGCATTTCAGAGAAAACGCTATCTAGGTTGACCCCTGAAGGATGAGCAGAGCTCACCAAGTAGAGAGGTGAGAGGGTAGGGTAGAGTGTTCTAGGCAGAGGAAACAGCATGTAACAGGCAGAGAAAGTCTGTTCAGGCAAAGAACAGAAGATCAGTTGGGCGTCTGGAGTGCCACATGAGGAGAAGAGGGAGAGGGGCAGGGAGAGCCTCAAGGTGTCACTGGAAGGCACACCATGAAGGACCTTAATGTGCAATGTTGGGACTTTATTATCAAAGCCATTGAGAGCTTTTGAGGAGTTTTAAGCAGAACAAGAGGTTGGGGTAATAGGGCGGGTTGGAGGGAGGCATGCTCGGGAGCGTAGCATGGGGGGTTGGGAGAGTGGCAATCTCAGACTCTCACTGCTCTCAAATAGCACCTATGAGTCCATAGTGTATGAGGCAGGGAAGGGAGGTCTGGCCTGGGTCTTCTGTGCTTAATCTCAGCTAATGATGGGAGACACTCTCCAAAGAGCTAATTACTTAATGGAAATGAGGTAGAAGTTAGCTACATTTTTCTTTTCTTTTTCTTTCTTTCTTCTTTTTTTTTTTATTTTTTAAATTTTTTTGTTAGAGACAGGGTCAGCTGGATGCAGTGGCTCATGCCTGTAATCCCAGCGCTTTGGGAGGTGGGTGGATCACCTGAAGTCAGGAGTTCAAGACCAGCCTGGCCAACATGGTGAAAACCCATCTCTACTAAAAATACAAAAATTAGCCGGGCGTGGTGGCACGTAGCTGTAATAATCCCAGCTACTCAGGAGGCTGAGGCAGGAGAATTACCTGGACCCAGGAGGTGGAGGTTGCAGTGAGTCGAGATTGTGTTATTGTACTCCAGCCTGGGTGACAAGAACGAGACTCCATTGAGAGAGAGAGGGAGAAAGAGAGAGCGAGAGAGAGCGAGAGAGCGAGAGAGAGCGAGAGAGTGAGAGAGAGAGAGAGAGAGAGAGAGAGACAGGGTCTCATTCTATTACCCAGGCTAGCGTGCAGTCGTTTCAGTGATAGCCACGGCATCCTTCAATTCCTGGGCTCAGGTGATCCTTCCACCTCAGCCTCCAGCGTAGCTGGGAGTAGAGGCATGTACCACCATGCGTAGCTAATTTTTAATTTTTCTGTAGAGACAGGGTCTCCCTATGTTTTCCAGGCTGGAATTGAACTCCTGGCCTCAAGTGATCCTACTGCCTCAACCTCCCACAGTGCTGGGATTATGGGCATGAGCCATACACCTGGCCTACCTACATTTTAATAGGGGGCCAGAGTGTGGGAAAAAGTAGGGTGAAGGGCCATTCTAAGGGGACAGCCCCCCAGGAAGGGCAAGCCTTAGTCACTTACAGGGGAAGGGGGAAGAAGCGGGAATGAGACTGGAAAGCAAAAAGTTATTGTCTTTGTAAGTACGTCTTGCTTTGTGTACTGTGCGTGTTGTGCAGTGTGTATTCAGGTCAGGGCCTGGATTCTGTGTGAAGGTGCTGAGTGCTGGGTGTGTGTGTGTGTGTTGGCAATGGTGGTTAGTATTGGGATGACTTCTCTGCATCTGTGTTAATGTGCAAAACTCTGGAATGTATACTGTGCAAGTACCTACTGGCAGCAAAGAGATACGCATCCAATGTATGCAGAGAGAGAGAGCATATGTCCTTGGAAGGCCTGTGGTATCAATCACAAGTTCTCAAACAGAACAATTCTATTGAAATGTAGAGACTATTCTGGCTCACTTTGCACCCAACAGGCACTCATATTTGTCAAACAAATGAGTGTTTTATTAAAGTGCAGTCATTTAAATAAATATACAGGTTTGGTTAAAAGCTTAAACTAGATGTTTTAGGAGGAATAAATTGGCTGGGCACAGTGGCTCATGTCTGTAGTCCCAGCACTTTGGGAGGCTGAGGCCAGAGGATTGCTTGAACTCAGGAGTTAGAAACCAGCCTGGACAACATAGTGAGACCCTGTCTCTCAAAAAATGAAGTTAGCTGGGCATGGTGGAGCACGTTCATAGTCCCACCTACTTAGGAGGCTGAGGTAGGAGGATCGTTTAAGCCCAGGACATTGAGGCTGTAGTGATCTGTAATTCCCCACTGCACTCCAGCCTCAGTGATAGAGTGAGGCCCTGTCTCAAAAACAAACAAACAAAAACTAAAGAATAAATTCACAACCAGGCACCAACATCCACTGATAAATCCTAGCACTTTAAATCCTGTTATGGAGTTTATATACTAGTCCTACCTCATGTAAGACACTTTCACTGTTTCATTTCATTCAATAAACATTTCCTGAACACCTTAGTCCCAAAGGCAAGCCCTGGGCTGCTGCTGCCCGACTCATTTCCCTTTCCTCGGAGCCACTTTACTCTGGGTGTTGCAATTAGAGCTTAATTAGGTGTTATCCTGTATTGTTCCTTAATTGTTGCATGTGCATTAATCCACTTCCATGAAGGCTGTATAATCCTCGGGGGCAGGGACTGTGTTATAAACTTCAGGATAGGTGAGGAATGTAGCAGAGAGGTAAATATAAAGAAGAAAGTAAACACCCACTGTTTGAAGAAAAATGGCAACAAGAACATAAAACTATTCATGAACTGTAGTAACATGTAACATACAAAATTACCGTAAAAACAAGAGGATACATTGTTACTATATTGTTATATTGTTAACTTACTAAACTATTCCCTCCCCACCCCACTGTTTTTTTTTTTTTTTTTGTAGAGAAGAGATCTTGCTGTTGCCCAGGCTGGTTTCAAACTCCTGGCCTCCAGTGAACCTCCCACATCGGCCTCCCAAAATGATAGGATTACAGGCATGAGCCACCTTGCATAGCCTAAATATGCCTTGGATAATTAAATATAAAATTTCAATCTGAGCTGGGAGCGGTGGTTTACGCCTGTAATCCCAGCACTTTGGGAGGCTGAGGTGGGTGGATCGTCTGAGGTTCAGAGTTCGAGATCAGCTTGACCAGCATAGTGAAACCCCATCTGTACTAAAAACACAAAAGTTAGCCGAGTTTGGTGGCAGGAGCCTGTAATCCTAGCTACTTGGGAAGCTGAGGCAGGAGAATTGCCTGAACCTGAAAGGTGGAGGTTGCAGTGAGCCGAGATTGAGCCATTGCACTCCAGCCTGGGTGACAAGAGAGAGCCTCCGTCTCAAAAAAACCCAATAAAATAAAATAAAATAAATCTGCATTTTCATATTAATGTAATTGTGGTGATCCCCACAACGTTATGTTCCTCTTAGTGTAAACAAGAAATGTTTCCTAGAGCATGAGAGTCAAAGGGTAGAACCCGCCATTGCTGAACTGCTGGGTAGCCGGATTGTCATGTAGTGGGACTTCTCCAAGGCAATGCCAGCATTTTTTTTGTACTGTACAATTCTTTGTTGTGGGGGGCTGTCCTCCTGTACAGTAGGTTGTTAGCAGCCTCCTTGGTCTTTACCCACCAGATGCCAGTTGCTCCCCTCTCCCAATTGTGACGATCTAAAACGCCTCCAGGCACTGGTGTCTTATCACCCCCAGCCCATAACAAGTGTCCTATAGGAATTTTGGTTCTAGTTACATAATCTTCTTATTTCACAAATAGTGGGAAATGGGGGAAGGGAAATACTTATTACTTATTTGCTATGAGCTAGACAGTCTTATCTGTGTTATTCCATCTTGCAGATGAAGAAGCTGGGGTACCGAGAGTGGAAGAACCTGCTGGAGATCATAAAAGCGAATTTAGTTCAATCAGAACTGCAAGCCGGTTTGTCTGACTACAAAGACTTTAGCCCTTTTCCAGGACACTCCCACTGCTTCTTTGCCAGAAAAACAGCACACCTCAAACCGAAGGTGAACGGCAAATTCAAAAATTGTATACAAAACATATTTAAAAACTTTTTTAGGGGGGAGGAATTACTACCTTCAGAGTTATTACATTTGCTTGAATATAAATATACATGCCAACACATATATAGACGTGGGGGCCCCTCACTACCGTTGTGGCTCTCGTCTTATCTCTGAAAAACACAGAACAACACAATGGAACAACTTCAATTCTCCTTGTTACAAATTATCCAAAAGCCAGAGCCTAACGGTGCCAAAAGCAACCGGTCCTGTTTACGTAAGGCTTGAAGGCTAATAGTTAACTTTTTCCCATTTAATTCCAGCAACAGTAAATAACGCCTCACTTTACACCGCCAGAGGAAGGAGATGTCATGAAATGGGGAAGAAAACACTGAGTGCAAAGGAAAATGGGAAGGTGCTTTCCAGCTTCCTCTCCCTGACGCGGGCGCTGGCCCTTGGGTCCGCGGGGCTGCACCGCCTGGGTCCCGCCGGTCCCCACCGAGCTCCCGGGCGCGGCGCCCCAGTTCTCTGGCTCCCTTCCCGCTCCGGGGCGAGCCCAGCCCCTCTCAGAGAAGCCCGTCCCAGAGCCAGGCCTGGAAAAACAACAGCGAGAGAAACTTTGGCTCGGTGCGAAAAGCCAAGCCTCAAGTTTGGCTCGGGGCTGCAGCTGCCGGTTCCGATCGGGGGGTGGAGCGCGGTGTGTGTGTGTGGGGGGGTCACCACTCGGTCAGGTTCAAGTGCGCATGTGCGCGAGGAGTCGCTCTGGCACTTATTGAGCGCCGACTGTCTACGGGCGGCCGGGGGTGTGTAGCCCGGGCGCACGGGGCGGGCGGGGTGCGTGCTGGGCGGGTGCGGGGCCGGGGGGTGGCCCGGGAGGCGCGGGGGTTGGGCGGGCGGGGGTGTGTCCCGAGCGTCTCCGCTGGGCGCCGGCGGGCGCGCTGCTCCGCTCCCTTCCCGGGCGGGAATCCGGGCCGGGTTGTGGCCGCGGCCGCGTACGTGAGCGCAGTGTCCCGGGGAGGGGGCAGGCCGGCCAGGTGGGCGCCAACCCAGCCTCGGCGGTCTGCCGGAGAGGAGCCGGGCCGTGGGCCGCGCCGGGAGGGCGGGCAGGGCCGCGGCCGCTGCAGCCCGGAGCCGAGCGAGCCGTCCGAGCCGAGCCGTCCGAGCCGGGGAAGCCGGGCGCGCCGCTGCCGTTCGTGGCGGGCCGAGGTGAGCTGCGCGGGGACCTCGCGGCGCGGCAGCCGGGGACGGGGGCGGCTGCAAACTTCCCACGCCCGGCGTGCCCGCTGTGGGGCTGGGCCGGCGGCCTGGCGGGCTCGGAGGGTCTGGGAGGCCGGGGCCGCGGCAGGCGGGGCGCGGGGCGCTGCGGCAGGGCCGGGGTGGCGGGCGGGGGTGGCTGCCGCTCCCGCGCGTCGCCTTGTTTACCTCGCGCGCCGCTGGCGCCCTCCTTCGGAGCCCCCTCCCCGACTTCTGGCGGCCGGGAGTCAACACTCGGAGGGACGTGGACCGGCCCGCCTGCTCCTCCCCGGTCCTTTCTGGCGGGGCCGCCCGCCCGGCCCTCCTGCGCCCCGTGCGTTTCTGCGGGTTCCTTCCCACTCCGGCCAGCGCGCGAGGCCGGGCTGCGGGACAGGCGGGACTGGGGGACCGGGGGACACACCCTCCGCCCGCGGGCCGCCCGCGCACCTCCCGCCCTGGCCGCCGCCCCTTCTGCCCACGCGCCCTCGCCTCCGCGCCCCTGGCCATCCCCGGAGGTGGCACAGTGGGCTCACGGGGTGCCGGAATGGGGGCCTGCACAGGGAGTTTGTCCTGTGCAATTTCCGAGGCAGCGTTTTTTTCCCTGCCGGGGAGTGCAGGGCTCGGCGCCTTCACTTTGGAATTGACTCAGAGACCTGACGAAGCCCACCTGGCTGGGGGGGAGGGGGGCCTCCGCCTCCCGGTTTTGGGCAGCCCTGGCCAGTTCCCGGTGGCTTCGTAGGACTTCCACCGGGCAGGCGTTCCCATGATGCCAGGCTGCCGGGCGCGGGGGATCCCTGCAGGCCGGCGCCGCTTTCCTTAGAACCCCGTTTCTGGAAAGGTGCACCTGGGGGCGTTGCTTCAAAGTGAGGGAGCCACAGGTTCCTAAGACCTTCTTCACACCCTCCCCAGGTGTTGTGTAAACGGAAGCTCCTGGTCGCAAATACCTTGAAACACAAGGGAACGTGGCCATTAAGTTCAACTCTACAGGTCCTATTGGGGAGCTGCTGTGCTCCCAGCACGGTGCCAGGCTCTTTGGGAGGTGGCGGAGGCCCCGAGGAGACCCCAGGCTGCAGGAAGCCTAGGACTGACTGGGTGGAAGTGATTTAGAAGTTGACGTTCAAGTGAATGTGCAGTGGTTGCCTGATTGAGTGGTGATGCTGGGGTGGGAGCATATCAGATAAAGGAAGGAGGACGTTGGGGAAGGGACGTGGAGTACTACGTTTTGAAATAAGTTATGTCTGTGGAGAGATGGAAAGTAACTCATCCCTAGGGCCCAAAGACAAGACGAGAAGCAAGTAACAGGTGGGAAAGTTTGCAAAGCGGGGCAGAGGAGCATAGGCTCATACCCATCTAGGGGCGGGAGGAGACAGAGATATAAGAGATGATTCCCTCCCTCCAGGGCGTCTACTCTCATGAAGGATGTGAGCCTGTGAAATCAGACACCAAGAAATATAATGGTAACTGTCAAAGTGCGACGTGCAGAAATAGTTCTGTTGGAGTCAGAGAAGGGAGCTGTGGGTAGGGCTCAGTCACCAGGACTGTCTGTATTCCTGGAGGCTGACGCTCTTGAGATGGGCTGTGAGGTGGGAGTGCACATGGCTTTACAGAGAGGCAAGGAGATGCCCTTGGCCAGACCAGGGAACGTATCCTGAATAGTAGGAGACAGAGATGGAGAGGGACAATGGTTGAGATTGTGAAAGTCCTAGAAAGCCCTGTCGGTGATTGCATGCCACCCTGTGTGTCCTAAGGAGACAGTCAAGATTTCCGAGTGAGGGAATGGTGTAATGAACAACTGTAATGGACGGGCTTTGGAAAGTCGTGTTAGGAGGACCCATCAGGGACCAGGCGGTTGCAGTTGTGCGGTGCCGAGAGTTTGCACTGGGATCGGTGGAAGTGGAAAAGGTGGGTTTGAGAAACATGGCTGTTGAAATAATCTGTTTACAGGGCAGGGTGAACGGATGAGATGAATGGAAATTAATTCTTGGTGGAAATTGATTCTATGCCAGAGCCTTGGGGCTGCTGTAGTTTGTAACTTGAGAAATCGGAAATGTGTATTTTGGAGAGAAGAAATTGACTACTCAGGCTATAGAGAAGTTTCTTGGGGCTGCTAAGATATCCAGATGTGGTTGTCCTGCAAGCAGCTATGCTCTGAGATGAGGAGGGGGGAGCGAGGGGCGGGGGGTGGGGGGAGCCCAAGGGGGATGGTGTTGCAGAGGCTGCAGAAGCCAGGAGAGGGAAGGAGCTTGGAGGAGAAGTGGGGAGGCTGCTGGTAATAGGGGGGCAGCAGAGGATGCCCCTGAGTGGCACTCGCCTGAACCGAGGGGCTTCTGTTTCTCTCTCCTGCACAGCCATTCATAGGACGTTGCCCAGTTCTGAACCTGAAGTTAGAAAAGCAACTGTGGGCAATTGGGCCCTGAGGAGGATGGGGCTGTTGATTCTTCTAATCGCGAGGGTGGATTGGAGGTTAGAAGGAAGTAGAATGGGATTTGCTAAAGACAGTAAATTGCTGGGCTTTGAAACACGTTGAACTTTGCTGGGCGCTGGGGGGGTGGGTAGGAGTGAGAGAGTCAGGGAGGAGGACATTTTAACTCTAGGGATATTGTGATTCCCAGGGCCGTTCCTACTAGAGCCTGGCACCCTGCAGTAAGAGGGGAGCTCTTGCTGTTTTTTTTTTTTTTTTTTTTTTTTCCTGAGCTCTGTTCATGTTGCAAGGATGACACAGGGTGATTTGCTGAACAAATTCCCCAGGCCTCAACATGCAACATCTGAATTTGAATGATGATTGCAAAAAGTTGTGGATTGAGCTGAGAACGTAACTACTGTTACTTAGCCTCCTTGTTTCTTTGAGATGCAGGATCAGTGAGTGAACTAGTAGGGGAAGAGGATTTGGGAATCAGATAATTTTCTTTATCGAGTGTCTCTGACTGTCCAAAGACTAATTGCAATGGAGAAGTTGTCAAGCTTATTTACTCATTGGAAAGCAGTGTCTGTACTGTTTTGACTGTGACTTACATTAAGAAATGAAATTTACATCGTGACCTAGTACCTACAACCATGTATAAAGAAATCGAATCTAAGCTACCTCCCTTTGCTCGGTGTCATCTCTGATGTTTCTATTTTCTAGTCTATTGTTCATTTAAAAAGCTGTTGTCTTCCACTAAGTTGATCTAATCGTCTTCTAATGGATCATAACCCACAGTGTGGAAAAAAAAAAAAGTTTTCACATTCAGTGAGTATTTATTAAGCCGTTTAAGTGAAGAGCTACGGTAACCAGTGCTGAAGGTGGAAGAAGGCACCAGGAAGGGTAGATTTACAGACTCTTTGGAGATGAGAGACACCTTGATTAAGGAGCAAGCCAAGGTGATTAAATGCCAACATGAAAAATCACTTCCTGTGGGGTTCAGCAGAGCCGGTAGTGATCTGTGCTGGTGTGGCTTGGAAAAAGGTTTGGGAACAAGGAAGGAGGTCTGGGATGAACTGTTTTTGGTGTTTCAGGGTGCTGCAGAGATGGGGAGGTATAGAGTGGGCAAAGGCTTGGAGTTAGGAATGTGTAAAGTCTATGATTGTGTCAGATAGAAGAACAGAGGGTTCTTGTTAGAGATTAGAGAGAAATCAAGTTGTTAAAGTGGGCTGGGGTCACTTACAGGGCAAAGATTGTAAACTGGTGGCCAAGGATGGTTTTAAGCATACGGATATGTTATACTTTGGGCTACATAAAGATGTTTAAAAATTGGGGGAAAAATCCAGAAAAATCTCTGGATTTGCAGCTCTTTTAAGGAGTCAGACCTGGTGTTCATCTCGAGCTGAGAAGGCTGTCCCCTATGGAGAGGAGGCAGGCGCGTGGTCCCTGGGCTTCCTTTTGCCTCAGTGCATTCGCTTTCCATTCTCTACTTAGTCCTGTAGGCGTTGTGCTTTGCGACCTCAGTTTTCAAGAGACTCGAATGCCAAGCCAGGAAATTTGGGATTGCTGTCATGGGCTCTGGGTGGCCACTGAGGAGTCCGGGTAGGAGTGTGGCATTGTGGCATCTGAGAGATTTCTGTGCACTGGATTTGTTTAAGGCAGATCAACAGCACTTTTTCAGAAGCTGCTGGCTGGGACTTTGAAATGTTTTTCTGACGATGGGAAAGGAATTAATCGTAGAGGGTCTTGACCTGTGTTCTCCATAGTAAGGCAAATTCCGA